TTCTTCTTATTTGTCTCCCGTATTTTAATCCATTGCTGAACATCTCGACTGTTTTGCTCTAACTCATCACACTGAACAAGTGAGTTGTTGAACACAGAGCTGAAACCCTCACAGTGGTAATACTTCCTGTTAAAAGTTTGTGGAATACGGGTTTAGCCTTTTGAAATGGAGATATTGCTCTTTTTCCGGTGACGGAAAGATTATGGTGACATAGTCTCATTTAAAGTGAACGCCTGTTCCCAAGGCCTGTTCCTATAGGGAGTTTTTCTTTAACTTTTATACAAAAATTGGCATATGCTATAATCCGAATCGACTACAGGACCTAAGACAGACTTAAGCATCAGTCAAATATGTCAACTGCGTTGACTGTTAAGTCACAAGGTTGTGAATTACCTACTTTCAGCAACATAAAGTACATAACCTTTTGTATACATATATGTAATAACAATAGCTAATAATGGTTTCTAATTTATTTTATTATTAAATTAATTAGTGTTGTCTGCACCTGTTATTGATGTATATGTGAAGAGCTACTCGTATTTAAACTGCCATGTAAGAAATATTGTATTGTTGTATTGTACAGTAGTAAGTAAGTAGTGATAACGTAAGAGAATCCACTACTTCCCTATCAACCTGTGGGTTTCTTAGGGAGCAGCAGAGGGAACAGAAAATCAGCAACTAAAACAAATATCCCTCCTATATCTATGGTCTATGTTCAGCACTTAGAGCATACATTACATGGAGGGAGCACTGTGTGAGCAGAAAGCGTGATCGGCGTAGAGAGAGAGAGAGAGAGACTGAGTTTAGGTAGAGTCTGTCTCTCTCGCACAGTCACTGTCATTGGCTGTTTATCAGAACCATGAAGCATGTGCGAGAGAGACAGACTCTACCTAAACCTTAGAGCACCGATCACGCATTCTGCTCACACAGTGCTCCCTCCATGTCAGTTCAGCAGTGGACTTTTGATAGATTTTAATGAATGAAGAGATGGTATTATGCGTAGTGCTGCTATGCCTTTTTTTAAATTAATAAAAAATGAGCATGGATGCAATATGGTCAGCCCTCAATATTAACCTGCAATTTGGTAGATAATTATAGGTTGATATACTTTAAAAAAATATCACATAACAGATATTTTTGACAATAAACAAATTATGCACAGTTAAGAATCAAATGAATACCCACGCACACAGAAACAATTCAAAAAGTAGAAGGACCTAAGGGCCTCAAAACGTAAATCAAATCGAAATTCAGAGCCATAAAATCTCTTCAAGAATGTAGTAATTTAATTTTCATAATTGAATGACATTAATACTATAGCTATAATCATTCCAGCTCATCACAAGTCCACTGCTAAACTTGCCTTCGCCAAGGAATGTCACAATACACGCACCTGAGCCACTTGCACCCATCGACTTCTTGCATCTCTTGCCAGGTCGTCACTACATCTAGTAGGGCCGTTCTTTACTTCGATTACCAGTACAAGGCTGCTTCAAGAGAACCTGTCTTCCCCATCGCTTATTGGTAGTATACTGATCGATTGTACTACGTCGAGAGCGAGAGCTCTATAAGAAATCTGAGAAGGTCCGGGCATAGATTTCTCTATAGCTGAGCGATATTGAGCATACGACCAGCAGTGAAGGATCTTGTTCTACATTATGTCATCACCAACAACACGCACAATTGTACTATTTTGTTTTCAAGTTTTGAAGTGTACGTACCATGGAGTATTTTATCCTCTTTTATTTTCCCACCGTTGGGAAAGCTCGCCCGTGGTTTAACGTTGAATGCACCCAAGCTGAAATTGGCAAGCATTTAGTGATAAAATGTGTCATAGGACAGGACCTGTTAACTTAAAACTATAGGACAATGATGAACTCCCAACAAATTATATGTGACTTTTTTTTCTTGCGTCTACAAATGCAAAATATGTAAAAATATAAGGTTTAAATCCTGATCAATTTTTTCTTCGGTCATGCTACTGTAGGAAGTCAGGAATTTAAGATATTCCAGTTTAAACAAAATACACATCAGAATAGGCTGTGTGGTATAAAACACCTTAATAGGCAAATCGTTACAATAACAACTAGTCACTATAATTTTCATATATGTGTATAATGAGGTAATTACTAGCACAGAGGAAATCTTAATGAACGTTTTAGTATATATAAAAGGGTTTTCTGAATAAAATACACGTCAAACTCGGCTGCATCGTATAAAAACTTTGCCTGTCTTAACTTACGAATCGTAACAACTACAACTAGTCAATTAAGTTTTGAATTGTGTATGATTATTTTTTTCAGACTTCGATAGGCCATAAGCTTGATTAGATAATAGGCCATAAGCTTGATTAGATAATACATAGTATTTTATTTTATTGATATCTGTAATGGTGACATAAGTAAACTCTTAATAAATCCATCAATTTGCCACAACAACTAGTCGATTTAGTTTTAAATTAGGTCAGATGATGTTTTCCAGACTTCGATTGACCTTATGCTTGATTATTTAACACAAAGTAAATTATTTTATTGATATCTGTAATGGTGACTTAAGTAGACGCTTAACAATTCCATCACATATTATTTCGCCATTGTCCTTTCAGTAACAAAGGTCTAATTCGGACCTACTTAGTCAGTTCTTTACCAGTTTCACTGTTCTCGCATCTAGGACCACGTGCGAGCTACCAACAACTATCGCCATAGGTAGACATGGACGTTACACGTTCCTTTTGTCTTATCCATTCTAAAACATTAATACGTCTTCAACATTAAAAAGGTACTAATTGAGGTTTTAAGCATAGTGCTGAGTTCCTCCTGTGATTCTGTTATAGTGACTATATCGTCAACAAATCGAATTCGAGTAATGTTCTCGCTATTTATGTGCTAATATTGCGTTTTACTAATACGATTGTGCTTAATATTGAATAATTTTAATAACTTTAAACACCAACAAATAAATGAGGATGACATTTAAGATGACATTCTGTCGAGAAGACAAACAATTTGGAATGATTCCAAAATATCTAACAGCATTCCTTGCGCAGTTTTACCACAAAATCGATACGAGCCACATGCCTCACTGGACCAAGTAATACAGTAATACACCGTACTCCAAAACTTAGCTACGTTGGTGAATTAACGATCTAGCTTATATTTAGGTTCGGGGTATTAGGTCACACTAAAACTCATAGTAGACAAGTAGTATCACACGTACTCAAATAAATATTATTACATTATTGCCTAAGAGATGATGAATCCTAAAAGATGATATTTTTTCTGGAATCTAACCAAACAATATAGAACTTGAATATCAATGCATAACTAGTTTAAATTTGATTTGAAATGTAGTTGATAATAGTAACGAACAAGTCATATAAGATGCTTGGATTTGTCTTAAGAATTATTGAAGACTTTAAAAAACCCTCAACCCCAATTATTTTGTATAACTTGTTGGTCCGCTCAATATTAGAATATTGCTCAACAGTTTGGAATCCTCAATATAATATTTATATAGAGACAATTGAAAAGATTCACAATAATTTTCTGAAGCATATCCAATTTAGATCAGCCGGCGATGCCTCTATTTGGTGTAGACTAGCCTTTGACCTAAAATCTCGCCGTACTTTCAGGGATCAGATGTTTTTATATAAAATCATTCATAATAGGGTCGACTCCATACCACTCCTAAGTGAAATAAATTTCAGATGCCAAAGGATAAGTGCTAGAAAAAAAAAATTTATTTTGTACAACTACTATGCGCACAAAATATGGCAAGAACAATTTTATAACTCGTGCATGTAATTCTTATAATAACAATGTTTCACATGTTGATATATTTTCTCTGTCATATGGACAGTTTAAAAAAGAAATTGAAGCTGTAATGGATAATAGTTAAATTAATTGCTAAATTATCATTTCACTTTAATATCACACATTACTTTGATTTAACTTCACTTTAGTTTTTGCACACCTAAGTATGTCATGATGTTCGCTTGTTGTCGATGTGTTACTTAACTGTGGAAACTTTATTGTTAAATGTAAGATTAATATGTGTTATGTAATAGACTAAAATTATTTATGTTTCCCTTGAAGATAAAATAAATAAATATAGATTTAGTCTTATAAATTATGATGTAAAAGTTCCTAATAATATACCTATTATGTTGAAAATATAAACGTAGGACAAAAACGCGCAGTATTAAATAGAAGCTAAATGGAGCTCGGAGCGGAATTTCTGAGAATTTATCAATATTCGTAGCAAAATTTCACGAGTTACGCGATTCCGAGGGATTCGCAACTGGTATGCATAGCTATAAAATTCCTAAAGAAATAGCTAAGCATTTACGGCACTTAATCAAATTCTAGTACTTTTATAAGTATGATTAAATCGTTTTCTTAAAAAATATATTTCTGTCTTTTCAACTAAGTACCTTTTTTAATGTTCTGTAAAAAATATTTGTGGGATTAATCCCGCAAATATTATCTATTACGTCATCCTTACTTTTATAAAAAAATAAAAACATAAGAAAATAACTCAAAATATCTATAAAAACAAAAGTATAATTTAATGCGTAGTATTTTTTCATAGAATTATGGTGGCAAGAGAGCACAGCCCACCTAAATGTAAAATATATGTTGTGGCCCAAACATCTACATCATTATATCTTCGATTAAGAATCTCTTGTATCATGTAAAAAAGTTCTTCAGTTAACTATACTCACCATAAAACACAGCAGTATTGAGCTGCTATTTACGCTGCTATTTTATAAGAGCGTGGTCCTTCCCTAGTCGAGCCGACCCAATCGTGCTACAACCATAACATAGCTGCACCCTGGCTCTACCACGTATGTTTGTGTACACATAAAAAAATCGGTTACATTATAACTTTCTTCTGTTTTCTTTTACACAGTAATTTGTATAAATAATAAACATTAAAATATAAACAGGAAAACTATTGAGATTAGTGTAGAAATGTATATAATTCGTCATAAATTTCAGTGACGAAGCTTGGGCCCAGATCTGTCCCAGTGGAGACTACAATAGAAGCCACCCCTGCTCCACCACCCACACAACCGCCACCTCAGCCTGTTAAGACAGAACGGTATGTTCAAACAATCAAACTACTGAATATGGTCAAACCTATTCTTTAAAAAATAACAGTTTCTACAGAATATTATATTTTGTACGTTTGGTGTTTCCAAATAAATAATAAAAAACCAAATTTTAAATTTCCAAATACAATTTACATCATAATATTAATTAAACTTAAATATCCCTATTTATTGAATAAAACTAAATTTACGGATTTTATCACGTTTATTTCATTACTTTTACTTATTATATTATTTTTTGGGAAGTAAAAATAAGTAAAAGTAATGAAATAAACGCGATAAAATCCGTAAATTTAGTTTTATTCAATGTGTAGTGTTCGCGTAAATTTAGGAAATCATTAGATCCCTATTTAATTATTGGCCTTAAAGTGGATGTGTAATAATATTTACTATCGCATATCGTCACTTGGGTGTCGTAAGAGGTGATAGTGGAAAACTAAATCAAAGGATGAGAACTAAATAATAAATAACTGCGGTTGCCAACCCAACTGCAGACCTGAACCCAATCCCCAGCATCTCCTGGCTAAGGTGCCAACTAAGGTTATTGTGGGGAAAGGGGTGCTAAAAATATCCTCCGGAATTTCGGTTGACACCTAAGACATCTTGATCTGACACCATATAACGCACGCAATCTGAAGACTGAAGAAAAGATAATGGGTCTGTAAGAAGGGCGGAACACGTTGCGCTGGGTATTACAGGATTATCTAAAGTCCGCAGTTAGACACGGTTATTCTCGAATCCGGAAAATTGTTCTGGTACCATGAAGGCGAGCGTCTGTTTCAAGGGTGAGTCTCACTTATCATCCACAAGGCTCCCATTACGAGGGTGGCACTGAAAATTTTGGGAATCAAGGAAGTGACACAACATTACCATTTAAAAATGTATTTATTGCTTTTCGAAGTATTTTCCGCGAAATTTGACACATTTTTTCATACGATGGAACCAATCATTGAAGCAACCATTCCATTCGGAAGTTGGGGTCTCCAAAATGGCCGTTTTGTAGGCGTCCACAGCTTCTTCAGGTGATGAAAATCTCTGTCCACGCAATTTATTCTTTATTTTAGGGAAAGTATAGAAATCATTAGGGCTTAGGTCGGGGCTGTACGGCGGATGGTCTAATAATTCTATGTTTTTCTTGCTCTAAAAACTCTTTTGTTTTTTATGCGGTGTGAGAACTCGCATTGTCGTGATGGAGGATGATGCGGCGGTTGCAATTCTCTTTACGGAGTTCAGAAACGACCTGTGGCAAACAAATGCTAGCATACCATTCTGCATTAACCGTTCTTTGTCCCTCAAGAGGAATAGTCGTAACATGGCCGGTTTTGGAGACAAACGTGGCCACCATTTTTTTTTGCAACACTCCGTGAACGAACAATTTTTCTTGGCTTTAACTCATTTTCGAACACCCAAACTCGTGACTCGTTTTTTGTTTCGGGTTCGTATGCGTATATTCAGGATTCGTCACCTGATACGATGTTGTATACAGCATTTGAGGATCCTGCGTGGAATCTTTCGAGAGTTCTGACGCACCAAGTAACGCGAGCCACTTTTTGCTCTTCACAGAGCGAATGCGGTATCCATCGGGAAAACAACTTTTTTACACCTAATTGTTCATGCAAGATTATTTGTATTTGACTCATGCCAATGTCTAAAATTGCCTGAATTTCGCGGCATGTCACATCTCGATCTTCCTCAATCAGCTTACGCACAGCATCAACGTTTTCTTGGGTGCCTGCAGTTTTTGGACGACCTTGACGGGGATCATCACTGAGCTTGACACGTCCACTTTAAAATTCAGCAAACCAGCGATAAATTGTGGTTTTAGATGGGGCTTCATCACCAAATGCAGAAATCATCCGGTCAACATACTGTTTTTGTGTTAAACCACTTCGAAAGTCATAATAAATCATCGCTCTTGAATTTTCTCGAGTCAATTCCATTTTCTCAACGACTAAACAAGTTTGACAAAACCTTGTGACAAGACCGAGAATCTTTTTTTAAATAAATAAATGGTATTCGATTTTTAAAACCAAAGAGTTTTCAATTAAAAAGATTTTAATATGACAGGAACAGTGGAAATATTCCATTCCCGATACTTTTAGTGCAGCCTAGTAATAATATAGTCAATATCAGCAGTGTCGACGAGGATTGCATACCTTATACTCAAAATAATCTTACGTTATTCGTTCTATGCACCAACCTTGGTACACCCCAATGAATAACCGGAATCATGGGTGGATATATGAGGATATCTCTAGAGCCATGTTATCCTCTAGAACATAAAATTAACACAAAACTTGGCACAGGAAAGGCGGGTGAGCTGAAGGTAACACATTTTGGAATAGGACAACAAATCCTAGAAGTCAACAGCTGATTGACTGATGGGTAATGAGGGACTCTACGATAAGCTCTTTCTACTAGAATTGGCCTCACAGACAGAGGGTCTGCTCCAACCTCGACTGTTCGACAAAAATGAGATTAACTTCATTTTTATTACGATAAGCAGGCGAGAAATGTTACCAAGTGATGTCTTAATCGCTGTCAGTTTTCACCCTGTGAGGGCGAAAACTCGCCGAATAATGAGAGGCACACTGAACATCAACGTTAACTTGTAGAGATCTCGTCTAGTCAACGCTCCGTCCCCCTCATATTCTAAAACAAAGCCCCGAAAACTACATGTCTTCTTTGTGAACTCGTTTCTTTATGAAAAGATTTACTCAGAATATTTCTTATGCATATTAATGTATTCATCAACCCAAATTGCACAAAGTAGAAATCTGTTCACTAAGCTACCAAAGAGAAAAAGCTTTTATTTACATTAGGTATTTATTCTATTTGACATAAAAATTAAATAAACTAAAATTTAAACGGATGTGTGCATGTTAAAATTTAAATATTCTAATGCCCTTCTTGTAAGACAACTCTAAAAAAGTTTCCATGAAAAAAATTGTACAGCGAAGCCGGCAAAGCGCCATCTCGGGCCGGAGCATGTCGCGTGTGCCTAAAAGCGCTAAAACCAGGCGAGGTGTTCCACACATGCAATGGCTGTCAGCATCGTGTTTGTGAGGATTGCTCTTCCTATTCAAAACCAGCCAACGACGATGATGCGGTAAGAGGTTTTTTACTTATCTATTCTTTAAATGCTAAAAATTTCTAGATGAATTGAAAGAAGCCGAACACGGCAATGAACTGTTATAAGCTGATGATGAATAACATTTTTTTAATAGTTAACTTTTCCATTTAGGTAACTTTCATTTACTTATTATTCTGAAATATTATTTTAAGAGATAATTCAGAAACTTCTAAATACCTCAGAAAGCAAGTTTGAACATCTTTCGCTTCTCTTCTATCTTTATTATGCTTTATATATGATTGAATTTTGAAATTAAATTTCTTTGAACAATATACAATGTCAAAAAACTAAATGTAATAACTTAAATTACCATAAAGTCTCCTACTCCCCGTGGTATCATGCCTAGAACGTTTGCGTTAGCTGCGTTTCTTGACTGAGTAGAGAGGCTTTACATAGGCCTTTGAGCGAGAAAAGAACCAGCCCTCTTAACAACAGCAGCGACGAATAGGCGCGGATAGAGTTCCTTTAGGAACTTCACCTCACTTAAGACCATGGGCACAAATATGTAGTCGTCTCACAGATACTCAAATTTGCGCCATTTACTTAGTCCAGCTGCCTCCGATTCCGCCCCGGTTCCTCTACTTTGAGGTTATTTTGGATAAAAAATGGAAACTTTGGATAGCATTGGAACGGTTTTTGCTGTTGTAGACAATATAGATAATAATATTATATTAGAGGAGATAGAATTTTGAATTTAAAAAAAAATCATTTGAACAGAAATTAAAGAAATAAGTATAATAATCAAACATTATATTTATGTTGTAAGTTTTACACTATTTACTTTTACATAATAAATTTTATCGAATAATTATTATCTATATATATATATATCGATATCTTATATCGATCTTAGCTAGGTTAAGAAGCCCGGGTGACAACCCTTTTATGCCATCTCACATCTCCAACTCATCTCTCTTTATAGGAGTGACAGGTGATTACATGAATATATGTAACTCTTTTTTCGGGATTATGTTATTTCTGCTAAATGAACCTTCTTACTTTAAAAGTTTGGACGTTATCTAACTTCGACATTTTTACGAATATTTATTTTCGGCGCCATAAAATTCGTGTTAATCGTCGTTCGTAAGTTTTAACATACGGAATTTTATGCCTTCGAATTGTTGTTGAAAATTTTAAGCCAAAGCATCGTTCATAATAATTAAGAACTATGTTTATGAACACAGAAACAACCACCAAGCGTAGAGTGTTACTTGGGCATTTGCTCTAGTAAGTAACGTGTGTTACTCAACTATAGAATGAGATTTTGTAATTAAGAATTCTAACCTGTTATGACTTAACTAAGAAATTACTTGGCAAAAAGTTATTACTTATTTATAAATACGGGTATAAATGAGGTAGCCCTAAGATGAGAGGCCGTCAAAGTGTATCCGCAAGTAGCATCCCACACAAGGGCTTTACCTCCCTCGCAAGGGATCAATGTCATACAGACGGGTCTCAATAATCAACAAGGCTCTAAAACCGAGGGAGCATTTATAGAGACAGCTCTTCGGATTCAAAGAACGGTGCCGTAAAAACCTACCAGTACTTTTCTTACATGAAAGTCCGTGGAGCCCAAATTATTAAATGGCTGACGAACGTATTGTCTTCTATTCAATTATTGTATCTATGGCCAAGGAGGCGTGGGAATTATTAAAGCTATATATATTATAATAACAGGTCGGAAAAAAGTTTCTTCGTATCTTGTTTCTATTATTGAAGAAATATCTCTTTGGTTGTACTGTTTGTATCTGGCTGGTTTTAATATTAATACATATAGGGTGTATATTAAGGTAGATGAGGCATATGCGCACGGAAAGTGTTGAACTCAAATTCACACAATTGTAAGAATTCTATTTAGTGGCGCAGAAACCGCGATCTGGATCACACGTGCTTACGCAAAAAAATATTTTTGAAATGCCGAGTTGTGTGATGCGGAAGTGTAAAAATTATTATTCCAAAATAAAAAAAGACAAAGGAGTTTCGTATCACACGTAGGTTTCTTCAAAATTATCATACATTTAGATCATTTTACATTAAATTTAATAGTTATTACGTTTTCTAGAAGAAATTTTCTACTAAATAAAGGACAGAGTATACAATTTTAACTGAGTGTAAAAGGGATAGCATTAACTTGAACGTCATCATGTCTTTAATTATCAACTATCTCTTTCCCACGTGTACAATCCGTATACTCCTTCACAGTCGTTTGAAAAAACTTTGTGTATAGACATAATAAGTATGTATACGTCAAAACGGAACAAATTTTGAAAGACGTGAAATATCAGTATGCGTCATCTACCTCCTTTATAATATACACTATCATTGGTGTCATAGATAATACCTATTGATTGGTGTGTATGGTGAGATTGGAAGCTCGTCGTTTATTGTGAGCTTTTACCGCCGGGCAAAACCATAGATTCGGATCTCTACTGCCGACAACTAATGAGACTCAAGCTATCAACAGAAAAGGAGTGGTCTTTTATCATGATAACGCTAGATCACACACTCAACAAAAATTGAGAGAGCTTGGTTGAGAAATATTAATGCATTCATCATGTATACCTGCTTAGATTTTCACCTGTTTTGGTCTCTTCAGAGTTCTTTGTGTATTGTTAGGTTAACGTCAAGAGAGGACTGTCTAAACTACTTGCCGCATATTTTTATTCAAAAATCCCAAGATTTCTACAGCAACGGCATTGTGTCACTACCTACAAGATGGCAACAAAATGACACATATACGAGGGTGGATTGAAAAGTACTCGGCCTAACACAGATCCATTCAATTCTAAAAATCAAATCTATCCACATTATTTAGTTCAGTTCAGACTAGTTCATTGTGTGAAGTTCGAAACGTGTGCGATAATTAGTTGTGATTTTATGAATTTATTAACAAAGTAATCGGACATAATTTCCGCGAATGGAGCAAATCGAGCAGCGTGCCGTCATTAAGTACCTCCATAAGAAGGGGCTATCATCAAAAGCCATCCATGATGACATGGTCAGTACATTAGGCGATTGTGCTCTGTCATATTCATTCGTCAAAAAATGGATAGCAGAATTTAAGCGTGGTAGAGAGAGTGTGAAAGATGAACCCCGCTCTGGAAGGCCTTCGACGTCAACTACTGACGAAAATATTAAAAAAGTACTTGATTTAATAATGGGAGACCGCAGATTAAAAATTAGAGAGATAGCCGAGATTATAGGCATCTCTTATGAATGAACTCAAAACATCATTGTCAACGAGTTGGGTTTCCACAAGGTGTCTGTGAGGTGGGTTCCGCGACTGCTTTCAGTTGAACAAAAAAGGACGCGATTGACTATTTCACGCGACTGTTTGGAGTTATTTGAAGCCGATGCAGATGATTTTTTGAATCGTTTTGTTACTATGGACGAAACATGGGTTCATTACTGTACACCGGAAACAAAACAACAATCAAAACAGTGGAGAAGACCTGGTTCACCACCCCCTAAAAAAGGCTAAGTCGATTTTGTCGGCAAATAAGGTGATGGCTTCAGTATTCTGGGACTCGAAAGGTGTGATTATGATTGATTATCTTGAAAGGGATCAGACTATAAACTCTGATTACTACTGCACCTTACTACGTCGTTTACGAGAGGAAATAAAAGAAAAACGTCGAGGAATGCTCAGAAGAAAAGTCCTGTTTCATCAAGATAACGCCCGTGTTCACACGTCGGTACAGTCAATGGCTGAAATTCACAACTGTGGCTTTGAACTGTTACCGCATCCGCCGTATTCACCTGATCTGGCACCATCAGACTTCTTTCTGTTCCCTAACCTAAAAAAGCACTTGGGAGGTCAAAGATTTTCGACAAACGACGAGGTCAAAGCAGCTGTAGACGCATAATTTGACTCTAAGGAAGAATCATTTTTTTTCAACGGTCTAAATGCTTGGAAGGGGAGGTGGCAAAAGTGTATTGAACTTGATGGTGATTATGTAGAAAAATAAAAATATAACTGATTTAGTATGTGTTTATTTTCTTGGTTAGGCCGAGTACTTTTCAATCCACCCTCGTATATTATAATTAAATTTAAATTAACTTTTTATAAAAATGTCTTGAATTGTATATAAAATACGAAGAATTTTTTTCCCCGACCGAATATTAGAGCTTCCACTCCCCTCCACTCCACGCCACTCCACTCCACTTTGTCCACTGCTGAACATAGGCCTCTCTATAGACTGCCAGTGGCACTCAGGTTTTCTTGCAGTGACGGTGAAAGAATGTCAATGCCCCTTATCATTACGTAAATGTCTAAGAGGCGATAAAACAAAATGAAACAAGAGATGGGCAGCATCATCTTCCTGATAACAACTAATGGTCATCCGGTTAATATGGTCACTTTGTTATAACTCAAAAACTATACTCGTAGCCTCGATAGAACAGATGGCTTTGTGATAGGATAGCTCTTCATCGGCCAATCAAATAATAAAGGCTCAAAAGGGCGCTGCTTTATCGACACCACTTTGAGAGTTGACATTATGTATAGTAAATATTTTAGTCGATTTTAGTATGGCGTAGTGTAGTTAGTTTTTTAAAGTTGATTTTTCGTAGTGCTCCTAATATTGCCAAAGCTTGTTTGCTATTTTTCTCCTAATATATTAGTTATAGTAAACGAATTTTTGGTTTTTTCTCCGTCCACCTCCTTGTTTTGGATTTATAGAGTGGCAAAGCTTAAGGCGACCATATTTCCCTCACGTAACTTATTATTAATAAAAATATTTTTTCTGCAGAATTCTTGGCGTTGTTCTGTTTGCCGACGCAAGGCTGCTCCTAGGCTGCCCCCAGCAGCGCAGGACAGCACAGACTCATTATTGGAAATTCCCGTATTAGAGGCACTACAGCGACGTCACTCGGAGGCTCGTCTAGGCAGTGGTGGAACCTCCACCGGCCTCGCTCCACCACGTTCGCCGGAGCTGCGACGACACTCCGACGTGTCACCAGCCTCTTTGAAAGAGCTGGAAAAGGTAATATGAGCATAATCATTTTAAAATTGCATTGTATACATAATCTTAACATTAGATATCATTGTGCATTGCGTATGTTTATAACACGGTAAGATGTGGCGACATCGGTTTTGGAAGTAATCGATTTCTGTGGTCCCGTCGTAAAACCACGCTCCAGGTATGTCATGGTTGCAGCGTTAGAACGGGCAGGGTTACTCTTTCACAGAATATCAGCTTAATGCTGTTGTCGTTTATATGGTGTGTAGAGAGAATTACTATTTAACTATTTAATCATTATTTTAGTGGTAACGAGGCATTTACCTTAGTCCTCAGGGGCGCATCTACATTTCGTTTCTTAATCGATGATAGATGTAAGTACCTAACACTATTCACATACCATTAGGTGAACTTTGTGGTATTTTGACACCCTTATCTTATAAAAGAAACTTAAGTAGATTTAAGAGACCCTAATTTAAGAGAAACATAAAATCTGGGATAAATATCATACATACAAATGCATTAATCCTAAGTGTTGTAGAAAAGGCGAACCCTTCCAATACAATGTAGCAGCTGGTTGTTTCCTCCTCTACAGCCTTCAGTCACAATATGAGACCTATGAGCCAGGAGTGTGACGTTGTTTTGATTTTTTATCAGAAGCAGAAGTGGATGGAGATGGAGGAGTGAACCTATCTAGGTTGATTAAACATCAATTTTTACTACACTACTGCTTATCATATTGATGATCGCAGCATGACACCTTCACATGTTATGGAACGCTTAGTAGCAGGTTATTTAGTGTATTTTAGTTGTGAATCGTTGAGTTTGTAACGACGCTGCCCGCGGCGGCAGTTAAAGGGCGGCGGTGGCAGCGTGACGCCGGACGTGGTGTCGAGGCGCGCGAGCACTGTGTCTCCGGCACGTCGCCGCTCAGTGCGTGCACCGCACCAACATTCCTGTGACGAGGACCAGTCCGCGGCACCCCAATCTTCCGGGCACGCGTCCGCGCTTTCCGCGCCGCCACCTATGTCGCGCAGGTAAGCCTTGCAACAACAGTTTATATACAGTTGGCTCAATTGGAGTTAATGCAATGGCGAGTCGGAATAGTCGCGATACTGCAACGTTGCGTGTGTTCTACCAGGGCTCCTGTGACAGGGACCAGCACGCGGACCTCCACTCCTCTAGACAAGGAGGGATTGATTTACACACGCCTGCATTATCCATGCCATACTTAGCCGTGGTAGCTCAGATGGTTAGCGCTCGCTGTAAATTTCACAATATGCGAGAAAACCGGGTTCGATCCCCGCTGGCACCAATGAAATTGTTAATTGCAATTTTAAGTGCTGATTTACCACGTGCTCGGTGGTGAAGGAAAACATCGTGAGGAAACCTGCATGTAAGAGAAATAAGAAAAAAAATTTCGAAGACATGTGAAGTTCGCCAACACGCATTGGGGCAGCGCGGCGGACAATTCCTTGGCCTAAAACCCTCTCAGAAATGAGCGGAGGCCTGTGCCCAGCAGTGGGACGTATATAGGCCGTAACTTTACTTTACTTTACTTTTTACTTAGCAGATGCGCCTCGCAAAAGGCTTGATATATATTTAGATCAGTAACGTCAATACATAGGCGAGTCGGTATACACTCGGTACTCGCCAGAGCTCCTGTGATGAGGGCAAGCCAGCGGTTCGGTAGAACATACACCTCGCATTTTTTGCATTGACTTAATATTGTAATTGTACTATTTTGTATTTTAATACTGTGAAGAGAAATTTTATGTCGCAGGGCATCGGCTGTAGACGTTGTGAGCGGCGCGGGGCCCCGTCGTAGCTCATTCCGTGTGGAAGAACCAACTGACACCTCACCACAAATAACCGGGCTCAGCGTTGAAGAAGAACGTCCCATACGTCGCCGTGGTAGTCAGCTGTTAGTAAGCCATGTTACATTTATCATATTAGAAGCTGTTACCTGTCCGATTCGTATGGAGTGGATTAAACTTTATGAATAGTAATTGTTATAAAAGTATCCATTGTCCTATTCCACGACTTAATCGAATTCTATGACAAACTTCATTTAAATTCATCCCAGCGTGATTAAAGGACAAATAACCTCATAAGTACTTTCACTTTTGTGATACAAATAAGATAATCAAAATAATATAATATACCTAATAAAAAATCTCACAGTTCACAATAATACATACTGCTACTTGGTACATTTCCTTTGTCCAGGTTCGAAAGATTATTGTTTTTATTTCAATTTCTTTCATATTTTCTTAAATATAACTTAAGCATATTTGTGATGTTTATTTTATCTAGGTGTCCGTCTGAAGCATAATAATTTTATAATGAGTTAATGATAATAATTATACCTTCCTAATTAAGAATTTCCTACCTTCACCTTTCTAATTAGCTACTGTGTAAATTACTAAAACAAACGACCTTGCTTTCGCGATCCAGTGATCGATTAATCGGAAGTATGGTTTGCATACTTCGTTAAATATAATCTGCTAACTGTAATATCTACATGTATATATTTTAAACGTATGTACATTTACATTCAAAAATTAATGTTTTTTCCAAACAAAAGAAATAAATAATATTAACACGCGAAATAAAAAACAACTTTTCTTACCTTCATCACAGAATAAACAATAGTACTACGTACTGTCATCCAGAATTGAAATGCAAAATTGCAGTCCATACTATATGGCAGCTAAAATTTTAAATAATATAATATAAGTAATAAATAATTTTTATACCATTTCTAATTACACATGTTTACATACAGGAACAAATAGGATTACAATTAAATAAATTAACAATAAAATAAGTTTAAATATAACTAACAACTTCATTCAGTTACTACTACTACTACTACTACTTCAACTTAATAGTTATGTAAGTTACATACGTATTTTTGTAATACTCGGAAAGTTTGGTTAAGTTATGTAAGATATATCATACTTTAAATTAACACCAAAAGTGTTATACACTTACGATAAATATTTTGAATTTGAATAACATACGTCGTATGCGGGCTGTTGCTTTACTGCTCCGTAATAAGCCGCCAGAAAGAAATGGAGAGAAAAGGAGGGAGGGATATAAGTAAGCTTTCTCCAATTGTTAACCTCAATTACATGAGGTGCGCTTTGCTTTTTATAAAACGAGGCACTGGCGGGTGACAAATCACACGATATTCATTAGAAACCTACATACGGATTATAGAAGCACAATTAATGACCAGTGCGAGGATATCGGCTCTGCGCTTACTTACTCGACTGTCCACAGTGGTAAATATAGGCAAAAAATTTAAGTTATGCATTGACAGCTGCCGTATTCTTGCAAACCCTTGTATCAGATTAATGCAGCAGTTGAAAATATTGGTACAGGAGCACATAATTAAGAATTTATGGTCAAAATACGGCTCAAAATCACAGCAACTCTTGGGTTCAAATGTTCGTCTTGATTTCAAATTTTCAAAAAAATTTGCCAAACACTAAGTTAGGTTTTAGAAACTAGTCGATGTAATTGCACCAGTATCTAACACTGAACTTGAGAGCCTTTGTAGCTCAGATGGTTAACGGTCGTTGTAAATATAACAGAACGAGAGTAATACGGGTTCGATCTCCGCCGGCACCAATGAAATTGTTAATTGCAATTTTAAGTGCTGATTTACCACGTGCTCGGCGGTGAAGGAAAACATCGCGAGGAAACCTGCATGTCTGAGAAATAAGAAAAAATAAATTCGAAGACATGTGAAGTTCGCCAATACGCATTGGGGCTGCGAGGCGGACACTTCCTTGCCCTAAAACCCTATCAGAAATGAGGGGAGGCCTGTGCCCAACAGTGGCGTGTGAGTGCCTCTATAATTGAGTGTAAACTGGTGGCGGTGTATCTTTTGCACAATTGACAGCTTCCAACGATACACGGAAGTTGATGTGTTTCCAGGCCAGACATAGCAGCGTTACAGCAACGTACTGGCGCGCTGAGTGCGATGGCGGCGCTGGCGTCGCGCGGCTGCGAAGCTGCGGAGCCGAGCTCGGTGTCGGTCGCGGCGGCGGCAGCAGCAGCGGCGGCTGCGCGTCAGATGTCCGTCGACGCGGAGGCCATCAAGATCGTCATACATGACGTCGATGACCGTACGCCGCGCCGCGTCACGCTCCGACGTGACCCTAACGACAAGGGGCACCGGTGTACGTAACGGCAAAATGTAGTTCAAGACTTCTAAAAATATTCCATTCTTCGTTTAGTTTTCTTCTAAGCGTATACAACGTATGTTAAAGATCTTGAATTATAGTTTTGCTTTCAATATGCTTTAGAGACTGCTCTGCTTAGGGTTGCTACCTACTTGCAAGCTCAAATTGAATTTCTGTAGTTACCCATTAAAAATTATATAATTATTTTATATACTGATAAGTCCGCCACAGTGGAAAATTATTTGGATTTAATTAATAATGACAATGACGGTAATTGACATATTTTAATGAAATTTTAATTTATATAGAAGATACGAATAGAGGCTTTGGCTAATTGCTTTCATTGAAATATCGCGAGTCTAAAATTGTGTTTTCCTCTATATTGAGAAATATATAAATACAATAACAGTTATTGATACTTTTGATTGATTATTTTGCTCAATATACGAATGGCCTTTAAAAAAATGAGAATGTGAATACTGGTTCTAAATAAGATGGAAATTTGTATACATATAATCGGATTTTATTTGTTTTAAAAAAATAGAAGTCATTTGTGTGCTTGAACAATTTTACTGCAGAACAAACCAATCAAACTTTACGGGATACAGTTGCCCGTTTAATGCGCCGAATTCAAACATGGAAGCAAACTCACCAAGGATAACTCTCGCTCGGTACCCCTACGACAAATCGTCGTTAGTGATCGATGTCGTGCATGATATATTTCAATGAGGCAAAAACACAGATGATGTGCATAGCATTTTACAAAAATTAACATGGTTTCTGTTCTTATTAACGGATTTGTTTGGAGTAAGTTATTTTAAAACAAAGAGCAAAAATTAAAGAAAATGTGTTACGTACATAATTAGCATTGTATTTTTTAGATTTTTTAATGAAATGAAAAAATATAGAATACTGAATATTCTATATTTCTCTCAATCAAGTCAATTTATTTTACACTAATGTAAAATAACATACTTTACGAAAGTAACACAAAGAATTATAGAAAATAATTTTTTCATCTCTGCAAAAGTTGTGGTCGTAGCAAACAAATGCCTAGAGAGCTTTTTCGAGAAAGATTTCTTTTTATTTTTATAATGAAATTTCGTTAAAAAAAATATGAATTCTCATCTACGCAGCCCGAGGATTCGGCATGCGAGTTGTCGGTGGCAAGCCGGATGCCAGCGGACGCCGGGAGGCCATTATCGTTTGGACTGTGCCTGGCGGACCGGCTGACCTCGCTGGGCTGCAGCAGGGTGACAAGGTAAACTGCTTTTTTTACTGTATTCATAAGTCGGTTTGAAAACATTATAGATTATTCCGTAAGCTTTCGTAAGTTATTGAATTATTTTTATACGTGGTAGAGCCATGCTGCAGTTATATTAGAAGACCTCCGAGCCGTTGTCTAAGGCCGCTCTTCCGTAGCTATAAAGACCAAACCATATCTCACCGGAGTTCCTTAGTAGTCTGTCTTCTCCGCAACTCTCTTCTTGCTGCACATAAATGGTTCTTGCAAAGCAAAGACACTTCTCTTCCTTCCTTTGGGACTCGTTTGCAGATTGCAACTTCCGTGCTGCGGCACTTCACACCGGGACAGCTTGACATGCTGGGGAACATGGAATATTGCTGGTTCTGCAAAATGCCACCTAACAGCTTTGGACTCAATAGAAAGGCGTGCTAAGAGGTTTATTAGTGACCAGAATCTGGTCAAAGCCAATCTCACCAGACTCAAGCACAGCCCAAAGTAGCTGTGGTCGATGAAGGAAAAGGGGAGATCTCCCGCCGGGCAAGGTGTTCTGCCCGGGGAGGGCCGACACTCCATGTGAAGTTCGGAGATGTTTATATGCTGTTGGGAATGTTGCGTGGGCTTCGGTATGTTTTTCGCTTGCGGCGCGACGACAGCGCCGCCACATACCTTTCGGTGTTCTAATGTATCCTACATACATTCCTGAAACTGCGCTGGAATTGCATCAATTAACTCCTCCCTCTCTCCTCCATTATCGAACAAACAGACAATCGGGTAATCTCCACTCATTTGTTGTCAGCACACCACACATTCGAACGAAACACTTTACTTCGCCGTTAATCATGCATACACCAAAGGCGAGAAATAATTTGCCAGCAACTTTCTTTCCTTCCGATTTTAATTTATCGTGTCAAGTCAATAGTGAGAAGACTTTTGTTAAGCTAACTCAGTGCATTTTACCATCTTCAGTTACATCACCACTTACCATTACGTGGTAAAGTAGTCGAAAATGGATCTTGTAAGGCTTGTAAATTTTCTAGTCTCTTCTGTGATGGACTGATTACAAGTGTTTATGTCGGCTCGAACTGGAGATATTGAAATAAAATTTATTAATGAAGCACATAAATACATCTTGTGCAAACTATCAGCAATCTGCCATGAGCATAACTTTCACGACAACAGACAATTACAAATCCTCTCGAACTGTTTTCTAGCTGTGGATTACGTATGCACTGTTAGCATAAAAAGAGTCTTAAAGGTAATGATGTTGATGATAATTTTGATAAACAAATGTTGAAGGTTCTGGAATGGGGTGGAGTGCCGCTGACGGAGCGCAGTTTCGAGGAGGTGTGCGCGGTGCTGGAGCGCGGCGGCGACACCGTGGAACTTCTGGTGGAACCCGCGCCGCAACTTGACGACGCACCCACGATGCCCGCGCATCACACATCACACCACCACCACTCTCTCTACGGTAACAATTGCTATTAGCAGGCAAATACTTAAAAAATGTAAAAAATCTCACAGCCTGTAATTGTAATGGGTCTCTTACCCTTCTCCTTGAAAATAGATAAGAAAGTGATACCAACCCAGATAGACGCCAAGGGTTTAATATATAGATACATATGTCTATGCGTACTGAATCTGAATATATACTAATAATAGTGAATATATACTGCCGCCAGAGATGAAAAGCTCAAACATACTTTCTGTTTCGCTAGTGGTACACAAAGAGAAGTTATTACTATAATATGTTAATTTAAATTATTTTAAAGACAAGGGAATTAATGAGAATATTACAAAAGCTTTTATTGTTATTTAAAATGCAGGAAATATTTAAAAGGGTGTAGGTAAAACTTTGCCAAAGGATAAAACGGAGCGCTAGATATTTTGTGTAGAAAAATATTTAGGCCCATAATGTTTTTTTTTTTTGCTTATGACAATATTTATAATATGAAAATGTTAAAAATGGATTTACAAAATACAACTAAAATCCCAGCGATAGCTAATAATTTACATTTAAACATAAACAACCAAAGCTAAAAGCTTACATGTCATTATATCGTCAATCAGGTCTTGATTAGATTTCAATCCTCCTTCAGTCCATGTTTGGTTAAGGAAATAAATGAAAGACTAAATATTCTGTACTTTTTGCAATAATTTAAGAATTTGTATTTTCCTGTTCCTATATATGTCTTTTATATTATTATTTACGTTGAGGATATTAAACATTTTCCTATTTTTCCATTTTCCGAAAAATGTTTAATATCCTCTATCTATCTATCTCTCTCTCTCTCTCTCTCTCTCTCTCTCTCTATATATATATATATATATATATATATATATATATATATATATATATTAAACTTCGTGCTTATACCTCAATACCTCATAACATAACTCTACAAGTTTCTTCACCTCTGCTTCTCACGATCTTCGTCTATACGGTACTAAATTTCCTTTATATTGTGTTTCAATATATGCATTTCTTGTAAACACATTAGGTTGACTTAAATGAGGTTAAAAAAATCAACATACTATTTTATTTATTTTACAGAACCGGATACTGACAAAACGCCATCGTCGCCAACCCGACGGAAATTGCCGAAAACCCCGGTATAATACTTAGAATAGGCTTTAACTGTAACAATAATATGTGTTGTGAACCTGTAAGACATTGAGCGGAACTACTCGTACCTTCACAAACTTTAGTAGAGACTGTCACTTGGTGCCTATTCCCTCTGCGCTTTTCGGATCAGTCATTATAACAGCTGTGATTTTATCAAACGATCCTATGTAATCTCATAGTTAGTGGATCATTAAAAAAACCTACACGAATGGTTGTAATAAATAGGCCAAACTTTTTAATATTGCAATAGATTTTCAAATAGTAATATAATTTTCCACCAAACCTTAATATTAATAATTCCCTTATTAGTCTGATACACTATTACTTTAACACGTAATTTGTTGACTTGTCAAATGATCCAGTAATTTAATCACTTATTGACGAACATCATATATCTGATTAAAATATTTTATGAAAGTGTCTTTTGACACATGTCAGGATGACATTTACGTGATACCACGTAAAACGCCGACCGCTGCAGCTCTGACATCTTTTTACTCTAACCATTTCGAAAAGTAATATTTCGGTAAGCAGTAAAAATATGTTTTATTGCATAAAACTATGTATACGGATTTTATCTCGTTTAATTAACTTCTTTTTAATTCCCGACTCTTCGGGTGTTTTACAGCACCCATGGTCTCGGGGGGGGGGGGGGGACTGAGATATTTGTCGTCCCAATGTCATGGTTAACCCGGTTACGAGCTTACGGTAATTTGGAGTCTTGCAGTGGTATACTTGGTTTGGATTTAATTTTGTTAATTATAGGATCCCAAGCAGATAGCAGCACTCATCCATCTTCCGTATTGAAACTAGGATGTTTTTTTTAGTTTCAATAGCCTCGCGTATTATCCTTGGTAGGAATCGGTGTTCTTTGCAAAAATTTGTAGTCTATCAAATCTGATGTAATAGTAAGGACGATCTTGAACATGATCACTGACTGCAGACTTCTTAGCCGTGACCATGGGTGCTGTAAAGCACCTGAAACGTTGGGAATTAAAAATAAATTAATAAATAAGTTAATAAATTATGCGATAAAACCCGTATAAATAGTTTAATTCAATGTGGATTATTCGCGTAAATATAGGAAATCAAGAATATGTTATTTAAAATAATCTATCACATAACATGACCGTTCCTTGGGTACAAGTTTTAAAGAAGTTTTTAATAATTTATTTCGGAATGAATTGAGTCATGAAGTACAGAGGTAGTAGAAGTAGTCCCTATCGATCTGCTGTGATACTGTAGGTCTTATCAACCGAATATCTTCCAGATTACCCTTAGTGTATGACGATAGTATCTCTATTTACGATTGTAGCCGTTTTAAATTTGTTAACCTTTACTGTATAAAAGGGATACTCTGTTTACATACTTAATAACTAAATATTTACTTTATTTATACGTATTGCATACTCTGTTACCTACTTATATTCGTTGAATGTTGTTTATATAATAAATAATTCTAAGTGAAGTGTGTGAAAAAATGCTACCTACTTATTTTCAGATTTTTATTTTTTCTATCACCCGACCAATTTAATAAAGTCGCCACCGTCGCCGCCCGGAGTTGAATTTAGGTCACAATCGACAAAGTGACAAAATACCATGATTCTTAGAATATTGCAGTAAGTGTAGATACCCCCTAAATTGAATTTTAGTATTCGATGGTAGCTTAGGAAACTCATCCCGGTATCGAACATCATGCCTAGGATATTCGTGGATGATTAGATTATTTGTCTATCGAAAGTAAATATGGCGTAGTGAAGCTAGAGAAGTCGCCGCTTTCAGCTTAGCAGGAAACAAAAGACACCCAACATTCATACAATTACTAATGATGTAGTTATGTCGACACAACATACATGATGAGGAGGATATTTTACGTGAAAGTGATTTAATGAAACCGAACGTGCGGCCAAGACGTCTACAGAAGTCTACAGAGCAACGTAAACCAGAAGTGGCATTAAGAAGATGAGGAACGTGCGAGGTGAGCGCAGTACTGGCCGCGCACGTGCTAGAGTTGCCATCGACGTGCACACTCGACGCCGCACTATCCCGTTTGTACAGTCTCATGTCTTGCGTACTGAGTATCAGTTACCGAATCTTGCTATTGATTTTGAGTAGTGTAATTTCGCACATTGTATGAGGGGCGCTCGTAACGATTAGTCTTAGCTTGGAGTGATGGCAGCACGGTACGCCGCAACCGCTGGAACACCTTGAACGACAGGCGAGCACCGGGCGACGCTTGCGTTAAGTGATGCGACCGACACCTCACACTAACACAATGTACATAACCGCTCCGCTCTTGACTGTAGCCCATTGTTACGATTATTTATTATACAATAAGAAATGCATGACTTTGCACAGTGTGTGCATATTGATTTAGAAAAGCACCGTATAGGACTGAAGCCTTTGCGTGCGCCATATAAAATAAACAACAATATTTTTATACATGTAAAATACTACATATTTATAAAAAATTAGCAGCTACGATAAATTAAGTATTCTGTTTAAAGGATGTACGTATTTATTTTTCGATTTGAATATATTTAATAACAAAAGTAGGAATGATTCGAAATTCAAATATATCAATCAAGCTTTTGATCAATTATTTGTCCTAAAAAATTTAGTTGCCACATAAAATAACATAGCTTTAGTAAAAAAATATATACATCTAATTATTGCATACATTCTGTAGAATATTCTACTGCATAAAAGTTTAGCAAGAATATAGCAATAAATTTTATGTTTTTTTTAATTTTTCTTTATCGTAGGAAATGTTAAAACATAGATAAACAAAAATTGTAATGTAACCCCCTAGCTCAATTTAACGTATTTCCCAATTGCAATGAAGCTTGAACTGGGATCAGCATGATACAGCTTTCTGCATGGCGGATGAGAGCGTCAGGTTTTATATGTATGCATAGAAATGTCGCAACCCGAATAGCATGTTATTTTAATGAAATATTTTGCAAGCAAAATAAATACAATGAATCATTTGTCTCATTCGATGGCGAAGATTGCATTGCTACGATCGCAGAGAATGATAAAGGAATCTTAAATTTACTATGGTCGCCACACACGGTCGGTTCAAATGATCATTCCAGTTGATCAGTTCAAACTAAAACTGTTGATACTTTTTAAAATATTGAATTTTCGATATATCGATAAATAAACTTATATATAAAACTCCGATATTGATATATTTATAATTATCGATATATCGAAAATTCAATATTATAAAAATATCAGTTTAATTTGAACTTATTAGTTGGAATGATGAGTTAAACTGACCGTGTGTGGCGTCCATAAAACTAAGAACTATTACTCTGTATTCTTTGCTGCATGTTGCGGTATTAACCATATACCCTAATATAAAAATAGATCTTGCATTTCAGACTGGGATTGTTTTAGATTTTATATACTTATTAAAAGAGATTACTTTTAGATTTATATAAGAGATATAGGTACATAAAAGCGATGTGCGATTTATTATAATATACAAGTGAAAATGTGTATTATTAAAATACTGGAGTTTATTAACTATAGTATTTTTTTGAAAAAAAAAATTACTAGCAATCCTATTAATATAACTAATATTCCCTTTCATCACTTCTGGTAAGCTTAAAATGCTTGTATTAAGAGTGTTTCACGACAGTAGGCGAATGGTGGATTCGAACCCACGACTTTTTGAGTTCGGTCGCGGTCCGCTTCCTGCCATTAGGCTATTGTCGCTTTATTAACTAATTTGTAGTAGAAGCCATGAATTTCGATCGCCGAGCAGTTTTTGTTTTAACATTGGTTAAAAAAACTGCTCAATCTTATTCTACCGAAAAACCCAGGAATCTTTTATAACGCAAGTAAACAAACGTACAAAATCTATGCCGAAAAATATTTATGCTTTTCAAGAGTATAGTTTGACAATTTACTAACATTTAGGAACAAGAGCGCAACGAGCGTGCTCGAGAGCGTCTGCCAGCTCGCGCTCAACTTCAAGTGTGGTTCGAGAGTGAACTGCGCAAACTCGTGATTGTCCTGAGCGCTGCCGACGACTTGCCACCTCGTGATCACACCCTCGGCTACGGAGACGAGCCCGAGGCTTTCGCGCGAATACGTCTATTGCCATCACTGTAAGCTTACCAGTTAAATTAATAGAGTTCCCCCTTTTATATTATTCCAAAAACTATATCATTTTTATTTCGGACATTTGCTTAACAGGTATTTGTTTTAAAATTATTCGAATTTACGTCTCTTTGATTTTAATCTCTACTATATTTTTTCTATATTGTGACATTGGAAGAGTACAGATGTTTACAGCTAAGGTTTTTATATAGTAAGCGTCAGCTGAAATACTGATGTGTAGAATAAGTAAACATATGTTGAATTTATTATTTAATGCTTTGTATGACGTGCAAATAAATAAATTAATGCAAATAAAATAATTATTAACTATGTAACACACAGCAAAGTATTTTTATCGTACACATACTTTTCTAATCTTTCGCCCTCTCCACTTGATATGTGAATATAAAGTAAACAGAACTTGGAAAACATTCAGAGAATCAATCTTTTACAAAATAATTCTTGGTAACACTCCATCATATTATAATAATTGAACTTGGCACCGTTTTATTATCTTTTGATTTTTGATTATAAAATCATTTTGATTTTGACTGTAATCTATCGACTATAAATGCTCCCCGAATTCAATATAATTATGCCTTCAGAGTGGTGTTGGGGCTCCCGCGATATTGCAGTGCATCATAGATGTTTGTGAAAGCGCATACTAACGGCTTTCATGCTCTGCAGAGTACGAGGAAGCTCAAACACTGAAGGTTATTAGTGATTCGCCAGACTGTCCAGTCATGAGGCACTGGGTACACACATGCCTATAGCATACTCTTGTGGTTGCAGCACGAATGGGTCGGCTCGACCGGGGTAGGACCACGCTCTCACAGCATACCAGCGTAAAATAGCAGCTTAATGCTGCTGTGTGCCATACGAATGGTGAGTGTTGAGAACCGGAGACCCTTTTTACTGGAAACGAGGCATTCCATCTCAGTCCTCAGGGCTGGCAATGCATCTGCATTTTGATTATTAATTGAAGATAAATGTAGATGGGCCACAGCATCCACTTACCATCAGGTGAACTGTGTGCTCGTTTGTCAGCCTTATTATATTAAAAAAATGCATGTATACCAAGTGCCACAAACTGGTCCGCAAAATATTTAAATTACTGTCATAGAGTAGATTGTATTCTGTTTTAATAACATAATTTGTGAGTTTATATTTTGTACTCTTTTATGGACCAATTCTAAAACAATTTTTTTTTATTTATAATAGGTAGTATTTCAACTTACCAACATGTTTTATGTATTAATATTTTTTTGACTAATTAATGGAGCACTTCATTCGTGGTATGGTCAATATTTACTTACATATTGTATGCCTACACCGGCAAGATTTTAGTTTGCCTGCTTAGAATTTATTAATTACGTGGTAGAGCCACGCTGCAATTATATTAGTAGTATAGTTGTAGCACGAATGGGTCGGCTCGACCGGGGAAGGACCACGCTCTCACAGAATACCAGCGTGAAATAGTAGCTTAATGCTGCTGTATTTCGTATGGTGAGTGTAGAGAACCGGAGACCCTTTTTACTGGAAATGAGGCATTCCATCTCAGTCCTCACGGGTGACAACGCATCTGCATTTTGATTTGTAATGGAAGATAGATGTGGATGTCTATGGGCCGCAGCAACCACTTACCATCAGGTGGACTGAGTGCTCGTTTGTCACCCTATCCTATAAAAAAAAAAAAGAATGAAGTTCACCTGGACTTTCTCTAGCTAGTCAAACTCTTATTTTATTTTAAAACAAGATAATTTTATTTAAATCTGGTACATGTTTAAATTGTCAATATATGAGAGTCATATTTTATTTACACTTATAGTGAGAGCTGTCCGCCAGTTGAAACCGACCCTGCATCAGCATCATGCAGTCCAGTTTGGAACGCTACTCTCGGATTTGGTGGATTGACGGCTGATCTGCTGGCTGGTCGCGCGCTCGAACTTACACTTTGGGATGCCTGTCCCGGCATCGATCCCGTTCTCATCGGAGAATGTACTGTAAGTCTCAAAATTTTTTTTATGAATGGTTTTAACGTTTGCCCAAGATCCTGTAAATGGTGTAAGTAATAAACATTTTGGGAATAGACCTTTCGAAATTTGATTTAAAACATAAACACTCACGCCTGTCACCCAGAGGGGTAGGCAGAGACTACAGACTCCATTTAGCACGATACTGACATACCTCTCTCGCCTCCTCCACATCCATATACCTACGCATTCATGCTCGTCGGATAAGAGTACTCTTAATTTGGCCCATTTTTAATATAACCCCAATTTGGTCGACAAACTTTCGTCCAGGACGTCCCTTTCCGATTCTTCCATTCACTTCTGCAGAAGTGAGCAGAAATTTGATTTAGATGATATTATAATGACCTCAAAAGACGCACTAATAATGTCGAATTGCTTTGACTATTTACTAATATTGACTTCGGTGGTATATATTTTTTACAAATTTAACAAGATATTTTTGAATTTTGTGCCTGCCTGTCCGGGCTGATCTTCCATTGATAATCTTTGATCGTTGAACCGTTTGTGATGAACTTCACAAACAGAACTTTTTTTATACATAGTAAAACCATACTGCAGCTATATTATGGTTGTAGCTCGAATAGGTCGGCTCGACCAGGCAAGGAACACGCTCTCGAAGATTACTAGCGTAAAATAGCAGCTTAATTCTTCAGTGTCCCTTATGGTAAGTGTAGAGAACCGGAAAACCTTTTTACTGGAAACGAGGCATTCCATCTCAAGGTGTTACGGCCTCTAGTTACCCGGGCAAGGTCGTGGGACCCGGGCCCATCAGGGGTTCCACTCGACGAGTAACAGGAGGTCGGCCTAAATGGCTTGTGGAATATTACACGTTAGCGGTAAAAAGGGAACCAAACAAAACTTACCTATTTCTTCGAAGTAGGGTCAACCCTAGGAAGATTCAGGTGTAAGTGTGGGCGTGCTTGACTGTGTTGTGTTGTGATTGTGTTAAATTATGTAACCTGACTTCCCGCTGGTTGCAGAACCGCCGATCCCAAGGCTTCACCTTTATTCCTTATATCGAAGTGGCAGTCCGTCACAAAAATTTAAGAATCTAGGAAATTACACTCGTTTCTCACTTGTTAATTGGAGTCAAGTCAATTGTCATTAGGTTAATCCAATAAAATCCAACAAGATTTAACCGAACTCGCGTTACAACAAACTTGACCTTTGTGAAAAATGCAATATCACCGGGCCGCGTTGCAAACAACTCAGGTTCGCGAAGTATAGGCGTCAGAGGCAGCGGGCGACTAAGCTATTAACACGACGCGCAACTACTCAGTTCCACGCTCTGCGGCAAGTGTTCGCAAAAACGCCGACGCCGGCGCGGCCGGACGCCGCACCAGCCCACACCCCCGCGCCTCAGCCGTCAGGCTCGCCTCCCCGCTCGACCCGAGCGCCGAAGCAGGCCGCCAAACGTTAAATTAGGCCTAAACGAAGCCCCCGTCCCGGACATGAGGATCTAGGTCCGCGAGTAAATGGCAAGCGGGATAGGGTAGAGACGGCACGTTGCAAAACCGAATCTCCAACCAAAACCTCGGCCACCCTAGGGATCCCATCCGGTCCATACGACAACTTGACAATGCGCCCACGGCGCCAATACAAGGGCGAGGCGTTAGGTTCTTTAACTAACACGAGGTCTCCAACCCGAGGGGGGGTCCGTCTTGTCAGACCACTTAACGCGCTGCTGCAAAATATGTAGGTACTCCAGAGACCATCGGTGCCAAAAACTCTGAGTTATTTGTTGCAGCATGTCAAATCTGCTCAACCGCGAAGAGATTATTTCCCGGAAGGGGTACTCGGGCAGGGCGTTAAGCGGCTGGCCTATCAGGAAGTGGCCAGGGGTTAGAACCTCTAAATCATTCGGATCGGACGAGAGAGGACAGAGGGGCCGAGAGTTGAGGACTGCTTCAATTTTACAGAATACAGTGGCAAGCTCTTCAAATGTCAAAATAGTTTCGCCAATAACGCGACGGAGATGCGTCTTTGCAACCTTCACCACCGCCTCAAAAATACCGCCCCAGTGTGGGCAAGCCGGAGGGTCGAATTTCCACTGGATGCCCTTCTTGGACATCGCAGTAGTTAAATAGGTCCTGTTGCTAGACAGAAATTCAACGACCTCCTTCAAATACCTATCAGTACCCTTATAATTCGTTCCGCAATCCGACCGGATCAGGTCCGGTAAACCGCGACGCGATACGAAGCGACCCAGTGTGGACAAAAAGGCCTCCGTGCTAAGGGCACTTACAAGTTCTAAGTGAACAGCCTTAGTGGAGAGGCACACGAAAACGCACAGATAGGCCTTATGAGCACGCGCGTTACGAAGGTTAGAGGACTTGACGAGGAAGGGGCCAGCGAAGTCAGTTCCGACTCCCGCGAATGGTCGGATGGCCCTGACGCGGTCGGGTGGTAAGTCGCCCATCATCGGCTGTGATATGGGGGCCTTCAACTTATAACAAGATATGCACTTAAAGATGACGCTCCGAATGGTGCGTCGACCCGCCAAAATCCAAAACTCCCGCTGCAAAATAGCCGAAAGAGCGTTGCACCCAGCGTGGGCATTCTGAACATGGTAGTGAGTTACCAGCAACCGAACAAAGGCGCCGTCCTTGGGGAGCAGGAGAGGGTGTCGAGCCTCGTACGGCAGTTGAGAATTTTTCAAACGTCCGCCCACGCGAAGCATCCCCGAGTCATCCAGGAAGGGGTTCAGGCGGGCCAGCGCACCCTTGACAACTAAGCCCCGCTTCAAGGTATCAATCACGAGCTCGAAATGCTCCGCTTGGATCATACGGGTCCAATGCCTCAAGGCTTCGCGCCGCTCGTTAGGGGACAAGGCGGAATCAGATATTCGGTTAGATGGGTCTCTCGAGTTGCGGACAAATCGACGCAACCAAGCAGTCACTCCCAAGAGCTTGTCGAGAGAGCTGTACCGTTCTAGTAAGGAGAGATCACGAGTGGGCTTATCCTTGACCACTCCTACTCGGGCTCGTAGGCCAGGCAATTCAATTGGTTCAGAGTATTTGTTCTGGGGCCAGAACGCCTGAGACTCAGTTAACCAGCCGGGCCCCCCACCACAGCGGGTGATCAACCAAGTAGGAGGCTTCACAGCCACGAGAAGCACAGTCTGCTGGATTCAACTCCCCTGGGACATGTCTCCACGTTAGACAAGTGACAGAATTCTGGATTTGGGACACGCGGTTCGACACGAAGACCTCAAGATTGTGAGGTGCCGCTCGGAGCCAACAAAGTACTATCTCACTGTCCGACCAAGCGTAGACGTCCGTAATGTCGATTACCGACTTCAAGGAGGAGTGAACGTGGTTGAGCAGTCGCGTGAGAAGAGCAGCTCCAGACAGTTCCAACTTAGGAATAGTTAAGCGGGACCTAATGGGAGCCACTTTGCTTTTAGCAAGTACGAGATGGACGGAAGTATGGCCAGAAGAGCTCACCGTCCGCAAATATACAACAGCAGCATAACCCTTCTCAGAGGCGTCGCAAAATCCGTGCAGGGTAACCCTGCATTTCCCTGGAGGGAGGAAGCACCTTGACATGGAGACCCGGTCGATGTCTGGAAGGGAGGACACAATTGAGAGCCACTCTCGCAAGAGAGCACCGCTTATAGGGTCGTCCCAGCCCAACCCGGATATCCAGAGTTTTTGAAGGAAGCACTTAGCCAAAAAGATGACCGGAGTAATCCAACCATTAGGATCGAAGGTGCGAGCTACAGTTGACAACACAGAGCGCTTGGTCCATGATTTAGGGGGGGATCGAGCTTGACTCGATACGTGAAGGTATCCTGAACAGGCTGATATTGAATGCCAAGCACAGTCAACAAATTAGGATTGTCAGGGTGCTCGAATAGATGAGGGTCTTGTTGATCCTCTCCTGGGAGGTCCTTCAAAATATGAGGGGAGTTCGACAACCATTTGCGCAGTTCATAACCTCCCGACTTCAGGATGGCAATCAATTCGTCTCGCAATACGAGAGCCTCCTCGACGGTGGAGGCACCCGTACAAATATCGTCCATGTAGACCGAGGTCTCCAAAATAGAAGCCCCCCGAGCGTATCTTAGGCGCTCTCTCTCAGCGAGTTCGAGGAGGGTTCGCATGGCGACATACGGGCTGGATCGGAGTCCATAGGTGGTGGTGTTCAACTCGAACACTTGTATCGGATCGCTGGGCTTCTCGCGCCACAGGATCAGCTGATATCGACGGTCATCACGGTGGACCACTGATTGTCGAAACATCATCCGAATGTCGGCTACAAAAACAACTTGATGCCGACGGAAGTGGGTCAAAATGTCGGATATGTCCTTGATCAATTTAGGACCAGAGTGGAGACACTGGTTCAGGGACACCCCATTGGACGAGGGGGCGGAGCCGTCGAAAACCACCCGAATCTTACTCCCAGGGGACTTCAAAACCGCGTGGTGGGGGAGGAAGTAGTGTTCATGTGATCGCCAGTCGAAATGAGAAGGTGACATGTGACCCAGCTCTTGATATTCGCGCATGAACTCGACATACTTGTCGCGAAAGGCTGTGTCGCGACGCATACGGCGCTCCATAGAAAGCAACCTCTTTTCGGCCATGGTCCGAGATTGGCCCAAAGGAGGCCGTGAGTCAAGAAAGGGTAAGCGGGTGACAAAGCGACCGTCGACACGGCGGCCGGTATTGTTCTGGTAGAACAACTCGCACTCACGGTCCAGAGGGTTGACTCGAGGCGCGTGTGGCGGCTCCTCAATTTCCCAGAACCGCTGGACGACGTCCGAAAGAGACACGCCCGCCACAGGGAGCGGGTCGGCTGCCTGATGCGGTGGAGACCACAGAACCGGTCCAAAGAAACTGTGCCCAAATACAGTGGACACGGCTGACAAGCCATCGGGCTGTAGGGCTCGTATCTCGCCTAACAGGATGAACCCCAGCACGTCAGCCCCCAGCAACAAATCTATAGGCCCAGGTTGGGACCATTGAGGG